AATATGAGTCAATTTTTTTATATGAATAATAATTTAATCTGTGATAGGGCAGTCAATAGAATTTAATTACCATAGTTTATTACCTGAAAAAGCTTGTTTGCTGGGAATTGTAAACATTATAACCTCAGTGTTCTTAATAAGTAGTTGCAGTATGTTACCTACACATTATATTGTTTAATCTAGTATTTTAATGATTTGTACATGTAGATATATTTTAATCAACTACTTAAATAATGAAGTAATTGATTATACAAATCTGTTTTCATAGGTAACAACATTAGGACACTAGAACAGATTTTTTAGGTAGTTTAGTGTAGCTGGATTCAAACACTTTTCCAAGAGTGTTTTCAGGTTTTTAAATATTTCAGCCCTACAAATGTTTTAGGAGAAATTGTTTCAGCATTTTACTCTCCTAAACATCTTTATAGCCAATAGCAAGTTAGGCAGCTAATTAGGAGTCAGATGTTCAACCATTTTCATGGGTCTGACTCCTAGCACATGGAGTATTCCAGGCCGTTAGCTTGGGGAATAAAGTATCTAAGAGTGATATCTTTGTTTTCCTCCCCTCGGTATCCTAGAAGTATGCGTTGCCTTTTCTTACTACCCTTTTTATTGCTCTTTGTACAATCTCTGGGCCGTATCACTTGTGATGCAAAAGCTAGCCCTAATTGTATTTATTGCAATTATGAAATAATATTAATATACTTTGAATTAATTCCTCTTCTTTCACCTAGAAATTTGCTTTTGGATACTACAAATTGGTTTCTTTGCTGGTTTTATACATTCATATAGCAGCTGTTTTTTGTTTTATATCTTAATAGCATTCCAGTTTACATTTTGTTTACACACATCAGGGAACCATAATCTTTACTTCTGTGACCTTATAAAACTTGCAATAATTATAAGGCTTAATTTGACCAATATGTGTACAAGTTGTAAAATATCTTAATATCTTTTGTTTGTAAACCAGTTCCGATCTTAAAGCAATTCATGGATTGTTCTTAACTTCTAAAGTGCTAATGAATTTTTAGTAGTTTTACTGAACTTGTATACGGTTGATTGAGGGGTTTTTTCCAAGCACTACAACAGAAATTGTCTTTTATCAAGAGCTCTTGGAGCATTGTTTTCAACCTTTTGGTCCAGCAGAGAACCTTTTTCTCATTTAGAAATACCCAAACTTTTATTTGGCCAGAACAAGGGTGTTTCGTAAAATGCTTTGTTTTCTTGCCACAAAAACTCTAGGAAGCCCTGTTACGAAAGAAATGCTGTCAAGTGGCTTTCCTCCTGCCTTTATCACTGATGTTCAATAACCATTCAAAACTTAGAGGGTCAGGTAAGAGCTTTCTTAATAGAGCAGTGACATTATTTCTGGTTAGCCTCCAATATGTTATATTTACTGAGAGCTCCAATGCATTTTTCATTTGATTTTATTTTGTTTGTTTGTTTTTTGTTTTGTGGTTCTATCATCTTTTACAGAAGGGAATTTTTTTTTTTAAGTTTAGTTTAGCCAACTAAATGCTAATGGATCCACTGAGAGGTTATTCAGAAATGTTTGCTAATGTGTTTTGCTTTAGGAAAATATCCAGAATAATTGGATTGAGAACGCAGCATGGCAAAGTGTTTTTCCAATAGCAATATTTGGAAAATCGTATCTGTGAATGGTGCTGTATGCTCATTGTTGCATATATGTGTGTGTTTTAAGCTACAACAGATTGAGTACTTCAACACATCAAAATAAGTACCTGAAGATAGAAGAAGAAGAATGAGGAACTGAGTACTTGACATAGTATTTTGGAGCTTCAAAATTGCACCTTTACTTGCTTGATAATTGAGCTTGTTATTTCTTTTTTACCTGTCCTTTAAATATTGATCCTGCAAAGACTTGTGCATGTGATTAACACTAAATGAAAGTGTTCAGGCTGCTAAAATTAGACAGGTTCCTCAGTCCTTGCAAGATTCAGGTCTCTGGTTCCTTAATGTTTATATTCTTGAGATATATTTATTTTTTTTATGCTGTAATGCAAAGCATATTTCCAAATATCCTGTAAGAGTTTTTGTTAGCTTTTCTTAATGGGATAATTTAAGTGGGAAAATTTAACTTTTATTGTGGAGTCAGAGGGAAGGACAAATATTGTAATGAATGAGGGGAAATGAATGGCAAACTCTAATACAAGATTTCATAAGCACTACCAACAACAGGCACACCAGCATATTCACCAACTTTACTGCTATGTCACTTTTCAGCAAAATATAAAAAATACCTATTTGCTATGAGTATTCCAAAGGGAATAAAAGATAAGTGTCTTGATTGCTCTAATTTTTAGCGCTGTAGCTGGTGAAATGGTATGAACTATCTTGCAGCACCCTGAATGCCATCAGTGTTTGGTGTTAAGAACCTGATTTATTTCACATTAGCGCTCAAGGAGACACATTGGTTTGCTTATGTGAGTTACTGCATTGATAAGGACTGTCAACTGGCTCTTTAGTTAGTGTTATCAAGAGAAAGCTTTTTTTTTTATGATCTCTTCTTAAGAAATTACCAGTAGTAAGGAGCTCACCTAAAACCGGAGGCTTGTCTTCATGCTTACCTGTCTTCATTGCTTTTTTATAATAATGTGCATTTCTCTGTCTGTGTCTGTATATATATCATTCACTATGTACATTCATACTTTTTTCTGCAGTAAGTTAGTGACTACCTAGGAATCAAAATTCTCAGTTGGGTCTTTGCTTCTGTGGGTTGAAGATATACCTGCCTGGTTCTTGATTTTTTTGTTTAATTTTTTTTTTTTTTAATATACCATACAGTTGCCTCTAGAGAATGAAAATCCAAAGAAGCTAGAAATGTGATAAATGAAAAATTAGAATAGTGACATCTGTGTTACATAAGATGTTCTGAAGTCAAATATGTTCGTGAAGTCAGAAATAGTCTCTAGGAACTTCATGTTTATAACTACTACTGTGAATCATCTGTTTTACTGCAAAGAAAAAGCTATCTTCTGTAAATGTTTTATTTTGAATCACTTCTTCTACCTGAACAGAATTTGCTATTACTGTCAAACCTTGTAAGATATACTTAACTTGTTTTGTTTTTTTTTAATTTGCATTGTAGGTTTTGACTTTTGCCTATAAGCATGCATTGGTAAATAAAATGTACGGGAGAGGTCTCAAGTTTGCCACAAAACTTGCAGAAGAAAAACCAACAAAGGACAACTTGAAAAACTGCATTCAGGTAAGCAGTATTTGGTCAAGTAATGGACTATGTTCATACTGAGTAAACTTTTAAGAGCAAGATATAAGTCTTTTGGAATTTTTGATACTTTTTACATTTTAGAAACCACTAAATGGAACATTTTATCTTTATCCAGGCTTTGGTAGCTTGCCCTCCATTTTTGATAGTGATTTCTTCTTTCTTTTTCTAAAATAACGCGTTTGTGAGTAACTGTCATTTTTAGCAGATTTACTTTCTGGAACTTCCTTTGGGACATAAAGGAGGTAGACAGCTTAGCCAAAGATATCTGCATATTTAAAATCCTGTTATGTTGCTGTTTAACCACTATTATTTTTTACTATTATTAATCATAATTACTGTTAGTAGAATATAGGTGGTGAATTAATGGAAATTACGGTAGTTCCTAGGGCAAGATTTTTGTGCGTTAAGTTAAAAGACTGTGGATCATATGGGGGGGCCAGAAGTTTCCCCCTTTCAGGACTAAGGAATTCAAAAATCACTGTTCTCCAATCTGTTATCTTTCTATAACTGACATTTTTAGTAAGATGTTGATATCTGTGCAGTGTTTGTTTAGATTTAGATGTTAAAAAGAATGACTCTTTTTTTAATGTCTGTTTTTTTTCTTCAGCTAATGAAGTTGCTTGGATGGACTCATTGTGCAACTTTCACTGAGAATTGGCTTCCTGTCATGTATCCACCTGATTATTGCGTATTCTAGAAAATCAACAGTTGTAAAATTAAAATGATTTTATATGGGGCAGGATAGGAAAAGATAAGTTTGACTTTTTATTCGAACGCATGTTTTCATTACTGGATGCTGATTATTAAATTGTGTGTATTTATCAGTAAAGGCACCTGGGTACAGTTAATACCTGTTAACCTCACTCCTATCATTAGGGAGTTTCCTTATTGTGCATCCCATTGCTGGCAATGGATGTGCCAGAACTGCCAACACCAAGGATTTGGAATCAGGTTGGAAAAACTTACTGCATGCATGTTAGGTTCTGAACTGTTACTTTTAACTGCAAACCTGTAAAAGTTCTGTATTTTTTACGGTAAACTGAATTTTAACATGTTTGATCTTAATTTCAGTTGTATGAAGGCCTTAAAGCTACTTCAAGAGTGGCTAAACTCTTACTTATTAGACGAAAATAATGAAACGTGTATTGTTTGCAAGAGTTTACATTTAATTTTTTTTAAGAAAAATTCAACCTCTCAAACTGTTACGGTGTTTAACTTTGAATTGCTGATGCATAGGTGCTCTTGTAAATCTTCATTTTGGGGTGATTTCAGACAAACTCAAAAATCTGTGGGAAGCTGAGTATCAAGGACAGGCTGATACATGTATAAAAGTGCCAGACAGTTACATCTTGATCGAATATTGTAAAGCTATACATATATGTTTATTAATGTTAAAAGTATAAACCACAGCAGAATAAATTTGCAAAGCTGAAGATCAAAAAAACACTATGTGCACTCTGATACTTTAAAAGATTTTTATAATTAATAAAAATACTGAAGCTAAAAATTGTATTGGTTTCTGGATTAGTACATTAAAAAAACTTGCTGAAAGAAAACACCTTACAAACAAAAGTTCAGTGCAGCCCAGAAGATCAGTGCTTTTTGTTAAAGCCTTGTTACTGACTACTGCTATGAAAATTGTTCCTTCAGTGAAGGGAAATTGGTCTGTTTGAACAGGTCATATGTATCAACCAGAGACAAATTGCCGTATCCTTTGCCTTGCTAGTTTTTTCAATACTTGCAATGCAAAACTTAAATACAACTGCGACTTTAGAAATGTAAATGCACATAAGGTGCAACACAATCCTGCAAAGCATTCCAAACTGGAGGTCCTGCCACTAAATCAAGAATAGTGATAGTTTTCTCTTTAATTTTCTCTTACTGTGGCTTTAAGCAACTTGACATTGGATTCTGGAAATTCTGCTAGAATAGTTGTGTTAAATATATTGGAAAGTTTTTCCAAAAATTCATAGTCTGTAGTAAATCTGAATTTATTGGCCCATAGTAATACTGTTCCTGGCTTACAAAAATACACCATTGTTGCTAGCAGGGAATCCAGAGCTGCATGATGGTACACAACATCAGTTGCCAGTATGAAATCATAATGGTAAGTTGATACAGGAAAATCTTCGTTGAGGCCTTCTCCCCATACCAGTTTTCTCACTTCAGGTTTGTGCATATCCATGTTTTGTGTATTTCTTGAAATATTATATGAGAGATTATCAAGAACTTCAGGCAAATCGGTAGCTGTAACATGAGCTCCTAAAGAAAACATGAATTTGTTTCAATTCACAGAATCATCAAGGTCGGAAGAGACCTTCAAGATCATCTGGTCCAACTGTGAACCCAGCTCTGCCATAATCACCCCTAAACCATTTCCCCAAGTACCACATCCAGATGCCTCTTGAAAACTTCAGAGATGGTGACTACACCACCTCCATCGGCAACTTATTCCAATGCTTAAACCACTCTACAGTAAAAAAAATAAACACCTAACTTAAAGGCCATTTCCTCTCATCCTTTCACTTGAAACATGGCAGAATTCATAGATAAGTAGTTAAACATATATAAAACTTTATCTACATAACTTCTCCAGCCTCCCCCTCGCCAGTAACTAGGGTAGTTAACAAAAGAGTTTTTTACAATAATTTTCATTAAAAAAAACCAAACAAACAGTGACAAAGTTTATTTCAATTGTTGTTTCATTTCCTTAAAGTGACAGTGGCAGGACTAAATCATCTTTCACAGAAAATCTAAAAGAAAATACAAATTTACCAACCTAAGATACAGGCCACAATGGAAAGCAAGCCTGTTCCAGCACCAATTTCCAAAACTTTTTTGTCTTTGAGGTTGAATTGTTCTTGATTTGATTCCAGATATTGAGATAAAGCCAGTGCCTAAAACGGTTAACACATATCCGTAAGAGGGTAACAGCTAAGTTGCACAAAAATTCATTAGATGTTTTTATGCAAAGGTGTTGGTTTTTTTAGTACAATGAAAAACACTGAAGGGTGTAACATAAAAATGCAATATGGAAAGAATTGTGATGTTCTGGTTTTTTATATTAAAAAAATTAAAGTGGTTTATTTTTAATTTACTTTTATGAGATATGGATTTGCTACACATTTCTATGTGAGTCTTCTGACAGCTCAAGATAGACAATGGTAAAGTGTAAACCATACAGTCAGAACACCAAATGAGATTTAACAATATGTACAAAGTAATGTTTTGGTTTATGATCGTAAATGTTATGCTTTATTATCGCTATTATCAAGTAAATTCAGACTTCAGCAGAGATTTTTGGAAAACCTGTTTTTGTTTCAATTTTTTTTAGCAAAGGAAATATTAAAAATCTGTTATTTACCAACTTGACACTTGTCTTTGGTAATCATATAAACTTTAAAAAGGAAATAGCACTGTATGGAAATATTGTTTATCAGGCCTTTGTAAAGATCTTATCAATAGAATATAAAGGGGCTGTTTATAAACAACATAAACTGATGCCAAAGAAACTGTCTTCCCCGTTTTGCTTCTCTTCTTTAGAGATGTGTTACTATTTTAATTCTTGTGCTTTTCATAATACAACACTGTCTACTTGCTCTGAGAAAGCTGACAGCTAATAAATCACTAGTCCAATTTGTGCAACCTCTCCATTTTCTTGGATAGTTGTACCATCTGCATTCTGACACCTGATTAATGTGCGAATTGATGATCGGACATGTCAAAATAAGATACTGTTTCACCCACACATACGCTTTCTTTCTATTGTTTTGAAATTGTCTGCCATTTTTTTGTGAGCTTTTTAAATAAATGTGGATCTGAAAAATTTTGAAATCCTAATTTTCATGTCTTTATCATTGACCCTCAAAGGCAGTTTTCTCAGTCCATGTGAAATTCTGTTTTTAAGAGCAGGGAAAGCAGAGATTGAAGAACTGTTTGCAAGTGTGGTTTTCTGTTCTGCAATGGAGCTGTTCCAGCCTGTTCTTTAAAGGAAGCATGTTTAATTGTTATAACCTCCTTTATTTAATCTCTCACAATTTTCTTTTTCAGCCTCCTTTTTTGTACTGCTGATTGCTTACCTCCTAGCAGTGACTGATTGGAAACATGAAGGAAGCTGAATGCTTCTTCTTGAGTTCTCTTTCTGACTTTTTTTCAATACCTGCATCCAATTTACAAATGCTTAAATGCCATAGTCCTTTTGGTGTGATCTGGCAAATTACCCTAAGGCAGAGCTTTCTGCTGAAGGTCTTTGTCCTGCGTAGGGAAACCTCCATTGTCAGAAGTATCATCTAAGAAAGCTTCCTTAATGTTTGTGTACTGCTATCATGGTTTACTCTTGTGTCCTTTCAGCTTTCTGCCATGTCATGCACTTACCCCCGGCCATACCACGGCTCCAAAGTGTTCTATGGACTCCTGAATGATGATTCGGTGGCCAACATATGTATAGTGCTCTTTATCGAAGTAGTGCGAAACTCTAGGAACCCAGTTCTGCAGTATTTTGAGAGTTACTGGTGAGCCTGCGAGAGAAAAGTTGAAATTGGTGTCTTTATATGCAACTTGGTAAAAAGTGTCTTGCAAAAATAGTGTGTGGGCACACGGACTAGAAAGCTGTCAGGCCATTGGCCTTGAATTTCAGAATCATTAAGATTGGGAAAGATCTGGAAGATTGTTTAATCTAACCCTTAACCAACCCAGCACCTCTGTGTTCCTCACTAAAACATGTTCTCAAGTGCCACATCTACACATCTTTTAAACACTTCTGGAGATGGTGATTTGATCACTTCCCTGGGCAGCCTGTTCCAGTGCCTGACCACCCTTTCAGTGAAGCCTAGCTGCTGTCCAAAAGCAGACACTCTGGCTGACCAGGTAGTGAAAGAAACAATGGTCATTTCCCACCATTCTGAGTGTTCATGTGGGCGATTTACTAAATCAAATATAAAGTTCTGCTAATTACAGCTAGAAGACTTTCAGGACCAAGTTGCCTTGTATTTGGGGTAAGATAGTTCATATTGAGTATGAAGATAGCATGTAGGTGTGTGTACTGTAGATTTCATTTGTGGGGTCAACAGCTCTAGAACATCAAGTGTCTTTTTAGATAAGAAGTGTTTAGAATGTACCTCTTTCATCGAAGAAAACCTAGCTCTTTTTAGTGGTTGTTTTTTAAGCATCCTTCCACAGAAGGAGAGTTGTAAGATGCTCTTTAAGTATGTGTTGACATACAGCGTGGTTCAGCAAGTCAGTACTATGGCAGTGCTAGTGTGTCTCATCATAGCAAGCAGGCTCATGGGTGAGGTTTTTCAGAAGAGCTGTGCTGAACTGTTCTATCTGATCTCACTGAAAACAAGGACACCGATCTGAATGACTGTACTGTTGCTGGAGGCCTGTTAGCAGGATATGCATAGAATTAACCTTAACTGCGAAGAAAAATTTTGCTCTGACTAGCATGAATTTTAGTTGTTCCCTGCCAGGAATCCTTGGTAGCTGTTGGAGCAGTTTAGCCTGTTGAAATCTGTAATACCACAGCTTCAACAGTGCCAGCCCAATTAATGCATATTATAATCATATCTCTGATTGTAATTGACAAATAATTCTTAGATGTCCAAGTAAAATTCAGAGACCTTTTTAAATATACATCTGAATTATGGAGATATTAATTTTTTTGTAGATTTTATCTGATAATATATGCAAACATAAGGAGAAATGGGAAAATTGGATGTCAAAAGGAAAAGTGACATGGTGACATCTACTATTTGAAGACTGACAAAAATCAAAATATGAACTGCTAGCATGCCATAGCAATTGCAGAATTTAAATGGGATTAAACCTGTGTTGGATTCTGCATGCATGGAGCTGCAAGTGCAGTTTTCAGAGTCACACTGCTCTTCACAGGTTTCTTCTTCCTCAGATGGGCAGTCCATTGCTCTTTGAATTTTGTTGGGGAATGATGACTGCTGTGCAGAGATCATAGCAGAAGAGCTGAAACAGAAGGGGAAAACTAATGTAAAGTCTTGCAGGCACTCTCTTTGTATGAGACATAACTGGAAGAAGACATGAGTAGTTTGGGTGGACTTTGGTGGCCTTTTGGCCACCTCATTTGCTGCAGCCAGTGCTCTTGATTTTGTCTCTTTGCATCCAGTTGCCTTCTCTTCCCTGCCTTTTCTTGCAGAACAGCTTAATGAATTACTCTGAAATGTAGTGAACTGCAGAGTATGCAGATAGCAGTCAGGAAATCATTGCAGTGAGCAGTTTGAATCCATAGGGCTTTTTGGAGAATTGTGTGTGTTGTGAATGATTGTGCATCCTCAGTGTACAGGGCAGCACCCAGCCTAAAAAGGAACTGATTGATACCAACTAACATCAATAAAAGCAGGAATAGGACCGGATCTAAATTTGCTTGGGGAGTAATATGTCAGTGACACTTCTTGCTTGACTAGAAATTTATTCAGTGAAGCACCAGCATATATCTGTGTGTAGATAGATAGGTTAATAGATAAGGTATACATACACAGTAAAGAGCAAAAAAAATGGTTCGTAACCTGCTCTGGCCAGAGGCTGTACGAGCTCACCCTTCCCACATAACCTGACAGCTGGAGTGAGCTATGTTTTTATCCATGATGAAAACATTTATCCATTCTGTTCATTCTTGAGACTGCATATTTGCTCTCTCCAGCCACAGGCACTGCAGACTAAGTGTTGTATAATTTGGGTTGCATCATACTGCAGGAGGCTGTTGTGGATATCCTGACCAGAAGGGGTAAATGTTTGGCAGCGACCAAAAAGTTCAGCAATGCCTGCAGGTAGTTTTTTAAGGAGCAGAGTGCCTGCTGACTTGTGTGAGTTGTTTATTTGCACATGATATTGACACTATTGCAGTTTTACTGATACCTGATATATTCCTTATTGCTGCTCTGTTTATTCACAAGGATAGGATTTAGGCTCTAATTCCTCTGACACTGCATTTGCTCAGTCTTGACAGCAATTTTGTACTGTTTCAGAAAAGAGTGCTTTAAAGGAAATTGATTTCTGCAGATTTTGATTTTCTTTTCTTCAGAGGCCCCCCATCTGGCTAGTAACAAGTTCTGCCTGTGCACTTTTTGCATGTGATTTCAGATGTGATGACAGTATTTAAGAGGCTGAAGTTAATGCTGCAGTTACGGCATTCCCTGATGAGTGAATTCATCCATGGTCACATGTCACACATGGCATTGTGCCTCCTTCCAACAACAGTGGTTTCTCATGTAATCACAAGTAGACTTCTAGTTTTCAGCAATGCCTCCTTCATGCCTTGAGCTAGAATAAAATCTGATCATGTTTTAATGTTTTAGGAAATCTCTGTGAAAAATAAGGCTTGGGCAATTGGGAAGGTATATAATGAAACGAGAAGAATCTGTCAGAACTGGTGATGGCTAAAGCCAGAAAACAGTTGGTTACTTCTTAACATTTCATGCTAAACATGCAGAGCACTACATTGTCATATTCGGGGAGTTTGGGATGAGTGTTTTATTTGTTTGTTTTGGTGGGGGTTTTTTGTAAGGGTCTTGTAGCATGAAATTTGTGCTATATAAATGAAAAAGCCAATCCTGAAATTAAACAGCAGGAGGAAACTTTATCTTGTCCAGTACTTTTCTATGTATAAAACCAGAAGGGCTTGTTTAATGAGTAAACTGTAATTTGTCAGTCTGGGCAGAAAGTGATCCCTCTGTATTTTTTTCCTTCCTTGAATGAGTCCTTACTGCAACAGGCCACAATTTCAGTTAGCTGTGGGTAGTGGTGAATTCCAGAAAACAGTTTGAAAACATGCTTAATAAATACAAGTTTGTTGATAAACACTAGGCACTCTGCATTTGTATGTCATCTAACACACTGGGCTCTGGTTTATCACTGGGGCTTCAAGATGCTATATTAATATCTTGTCATAGGTGTAACTTTTGCTAAACAGAAAGCAGTTTATATGTGTGTGTGTGTATATATATATATACACATTCTATTGCCATAATTATTATGTTATATATTTCATAGGAGTTAAAAGTAAGGCTTGTTTTTTTAGCTACAAACTACAGGACAGTTTTAGTCATATGAATTCAAGAATCCAAGCATATTAGTGTCTTGGACTTATTGATGCACAGCTTTATCATTTTAAGTGGCAAACTACCTGAAGACTACAGGCACAAGTGAGTATTGAGAAGCTATTTGCAAATAGGTGGTTACATTTTTACACCCCCTATATGTAATATGGTCGAGTTGTTGATGTGCTTCTAGAATTCTAAAAAATATTTCTTACTATTTTGACATTTTTCTATTCCATATTTTACTGAAAACGATATATCTCTAAAAGAATTTTGATTTAATAATGTTGCAAGTAAAATCTGTTCCCTTTGAAAGTGTTGGCTTTTTCTGAATGTGAGCAGTCAGTTTTTTTCCAAATTGATCCTGTTGGGAAATAATCATCTAAATTTTTTCAGAGTTTTTAGACCAGCATTGACTTCAGTAATAGCCTTAAGCTGTTGTGAACAAAACTTACAAAATCACATTTGATTTCTTCAAAACCTAAGGAAGAAAGAATAATTCATAAAATTATATCTATTTGACAATACCACATAGAATTAACAAGGTAGTTAAACATTTAAGGGCAAATTGTAAGATGATGATAAACCTTAATGTAACACAGTTTATCTCCTATAATAATAAACTTTGTGCCTCTTAAACTGTTGAAATCCATTGCTCAGAAAGAGCTTTTCAAATCTAGCTATGTGGCAAAAAAAAAAAAAGTAGATTCTTGAGTGGTAATGTAAACACAATTCTGCTGAAATGTGATTCTCTCATCTCTACACAAAGTTGCACAGTGTACTCTGGTTTAGTCTGAAGTATTTGGGCAAAAGCCAATTTCATTTGCTCACATGGGAAATATAATTACAGTGTGTTCTTTGCAAGACAGGGCTTAACCATAGACTCTTACCACACAGTAACATCTCTGTTTCTTAAGGTTCATGCAATTTTCTCATGTTATCATGCATTACATTAAAAAAAAATCAATATAAATGCTAGGAAATAAAGAAAATGTCAATGCTAGGAATATCAATATAAGAAACTTATATGATGTTTGAATCCACAAGGTAAATGGACCCAAATACTGAAAACCAGCAGTGACAGTCAATCCTCACAAAACAGAAAGGGTTAGGAAAGCTGGATTCTGTTGACAAACAGAGCTGACCTGAAATACAAGAATTCAGGCAAGGGTAATTCTGTTGTTAGTTAGCAGAGAACACAAAGGCATGCCAGATGAGGTTAGCTGAGCAGCTGTGTGGGTACCTGATGTGACAGGGCACGGGAAGTTTCCTGTGGGTGGATACATGCTCCAGAGTTTTTTTATACAGGCGTGCACCTGAAAAGAATAACTCTCCTCTCTGGCCAGTCGGATTGCAGGCTATTTAGAGTAACATTACCAGGCAGCGCTCAAAGAACTGACTGTGTTACACTAAACTCTTCCACATTTGCAGTACAAAATGAAAACTCTTTTAGACTTTGAAGTCCCAAGCATACTAACCTTCAGAAATAAAATTTCAGTTTCCTCCAACCTCTTGTTCTGTTTTTGCAGATGGAGTGTTCCCTGTGTTTGCCTTAAGTCAGCAGAGCTGAACCAAGCAAGCAACTTACTGTGGGCAAACTGGAGCATAAATAACGTGTGTGGCCACTTGGCAGCAGCCCGAGTGCAGAGAAAAGTTTGTGAAGCTCCTACTGCCAGGAAAAGGTCAAGTCTTACTTGCCCTGCTGAGTGTCTGGCTGGGGAAGCTCTGGGTACCCTCCCCTGTCCTGAGTCACAGAGGGTATGGGGAATTGACATTCCTAAGGAAATAACAACTTTCCCACTGTCTTTAGTGCAGGTCATAACCATAGGAGATATTATATCCACTGAAAGAGAGAGTGCAAACCTGAAAATACCAATTTCATCAGAAAATCTTGCAGTTGCTTTTTTTAAAACAGGTGGATGTTTTAGATGTTGAAAATAAACCAAATGTGTATTCCTTTCATGGTTCAAGAATTTGAGAGACTTATATGCATTTATTCCTTTGCTGCCCTTCTGCCCTCCTTTCTCCTTCTTGGAAAAGTTTCTGTGGAAAGAAATTTGACTAGAAGACAGAAAAATTTAAAAGCAATTTTGAAAGTCATAAAGCTAGAAAACAACCCCTGGCTAATTAATGAACAACTGAAGGCTGGCAATAGAAATGGGGGAGGTGAGAGGAAATGTAGGTTTTTAACTCAATTTATAGGCATCTGCATTTTTGGATGAAGAGCTTTTGAATTCAGGTAATGCTCTCCTGAAGAGTGGCAGAGGGAAAAAATGAACCTTTCCTGTCATTGTGGCTGTTTCACGCATTAGCCGCTGTTTCTGGTAGTCACACCAAGTATAGGAGACACACATTCAGATGTTCACCAGTTTATTTCCTCTGAAAGTTTATAGTTAAAAGATACTTTTTTAATTTATACTTGGGAGCTAGTATTAAGATATTAACTGTATTAGGTTGATATAAACATTGCATTTCACAGACCCTCCTGACTTTACAAGTAGTGCAAATGAGTGGTACCGAGCCACGTCCTGTTATTGGAAATAAAGGAGCCAATGTACTGCTGTTGGAATGACTGCCATAGCTTTTGTTAAGATGTGATTCTTTTTAACAGCCATGTTCCCACTGTCATATTTATTTTATTTGTCACCAGGGGTGAATGTAGCTCAGACTGGTGCTGCTGTCAAAGTTCTGTCCTAAGCTTTGGCAATGGGATTGATGCTGGACATCAACAGTTTATTTTTTAAATTAAATCAGAGGACCTGGCTTACTCTGTGTTATATCTCTTTTAAAAAGGATGCCAACTGTATGGACAGTGTTACAGCTTATGACTGATGCAGGCATGGCTTAATTTCTTTATAACTGATTTCCTTTTTAACTGATAAAGGAATCGACACTAATGCTCTGAAATGT